AACAAAAAGTCAACAGCATAAAAAAATTCAACTTACATTCCTTCAGAAATGTGGAAAGTAATGTGTCTTTCTGTTTGTATATGACTTTAGTACAGCTAACACACAACAAGGAAGCAGACAGGTGTGACACCTGCCCTCAAGGGCCTTATTGTCTGGCCGAAGGAACAGATTTTTAAACATGTTGCCCCAAAATATTTATTACAGTTGTAGAAAAACTGCACAAAGAAAAATCAAGTGGAAGATGGTTAAGTAGCTGCTTGGTATATCTGCATCACATATCAGATACCTAGGTTTGAGTCCCAACTCCACTCCAAATTCCAGCTTCCGGCTAATGTGTACCCTAGAAGGCAACAGGTGATAGCTCATTCCTCCCACAGGGAGGTCCAGATTCAGATTTTGGTTCCTGAGTTAGGCCTGGCTCAGGCCTATCTATTGCATATATTTGGGGAGTGAGCCAGTGGATGGTAACTCTGTCCTTATTTCTCTCTCTCTCTCTTTCTCTCCTTATTTCCACCTGTCAAATACAAAATATCCAAGTATATGTATGAAGACTGTAATAGGCAAATAGATAAATTAACATACAAAATTTAAATGCCCTTCTTTACCTGTAATCAAATATAATTTCTAAAATAAGATAAAATATGATTTAAATTTGAAATAATTATTTCATATTTGTTATAAATTTTTGAAGTTATTGTAAATTTATGCCACCCACTTAATGACCAACTTGGCAGTATAGAAAAGCTACACATTTAGCCTTGCAGTTAAATGCTCACTTCTCTTATTAGAGTATCTAAGTTCAGTCCTGGCTCTGATTCCTGACACTAACAATACTAATGAACACCATAGGAGGCAGTGGTGATGGTTCAAGTAACTGGATTCTTGCCCCCATGTGAGTGACCTGAATTATGTCCCTAGCATCTATCCTAACCATTTTAGACACTTGAGGAGCGAACCCACCAAAGGAACTGTTGTGTATGCCCCCATCCCTCTCTCTCTGCGTGTGTGTGTACTTTTCAAATAATATTTTTTTAAAAAAGCAAGACCTACCATAACGATGCTCATACTCTATAACAACTCACTTCTGAGTTTCTGTTCCAAAGTCTAATGATGGTTAGAAATTAGAAATGTTCTAAATGTCAAGAATTGATCAATGATTGAGAGTGTTGGAAATAGTGATGATAAGAGCACCAGGCTTCAGTTTCAGGCAGCTCTAGTTTTATGCCAGCTCTGTTTATTAGAACAGTTTACTTGTCTGTAAAGTAGAGCTAATACATCTGTCTCAAAGTAGCAAATGAGCTAACGTTAGTAAAGTGCTCATGAAAAATGTGGTGCATTTAGAAAGTCAGTTCTATCAGCGCAAGCTCCAAGTACTTCATTTTACTTTCACCTCAGAACATTGAAAGCAGCAAAGTTAGGAACTAATGTACCCAGAGCCTGTGTGAGGGTATGGGGTAAGGTGCTACTTTTTGCTCCTTGGAAAAAGAAATTTATTCAAATTATATTAGCTTAACTTATACAGTACCCTAAATTGATTCCAATTCAAGCCCATCAAGGTGGCATGTGCCAATGCCATCTCACTACTCCAAGTGATCAATTTCAGTTCACAATTGATCATAATGAAAGGACTAAGAGTCAAAGGGAGCACATAAACAAGTCTAGTATCTGCTAACACCAACCGATAGAATAAATAAAGGGGAGAGTGATCCAACATGGGAAGTGAGATACTCAGCAGACTCATAGAATGGCGGATGTCCTAAATAGCACTCTGGCCTCAGAATCAGCCCTAAAGGCACTCGGATCTGGCTGAAAAGCCCATGAGAGTATTTCAGGCATGGAAAGCCAAGACACTCTGGCAAAAAGATCTCTGTGAGTGAGATCCCAGTGGAAAGAACAGGTCTTCAAAGAAGGAGGTGCCTTTCTCTGAAGGGAGGAGAGAACCTCCACTTTGACTATGACCGTGTCTAAACAAGATAAGAGTCGGAGAACTCAAGGGGCTTCCATAGCCTTGGAAACTCATAACTGGTGCATAGGGAGATTACTGATGCCATAAACAGGAGTGTCAATTGGTAAAGTCAACAACAGGAGTCACTGTGCACTTACTCCTCATGTAGGATCCCTGTCCTTAACGTGCTGTACACTGAGGCTTAATGCTATAACGAGTACTCAAACAGTATATTTCACTTTGTGTTTCTATGGGGGTGCAAACGACTGAAATCTTTACTTAATGTACACTAAACTGATCTTCTGTAAAAAAAAAAAAAGAAAGAAAGAAATTATCAATTCCCAACTTGACTCTCACTGGGATTAAACATGACAATAGGTCTGATCTGATTTCATCATCATTTAAAAAAATCATCTATTATTTTTCACTTTATGTTTCTGTGTGGGAGCAAACTGTTGAAATCCTTACTTAAGGTATACTAAGCTGATCTTCTGTATATTAAGATAATCGAAAATGAATCTTGATGTGAATGGAAGGGGAGAGGGAGTGGGAAAGGGGAGGGTTGTGGGTGGGAGGGTCGGTATGGGGGGGGAAGCCATTGTAACACATGAGTCGTACTTTGGAAATTTATATTCATTAAATAAAAGATAAAAAAAAAAAAAAACTTATACAGTACCCTAAATACAATGGAAAATACCACTCCTGATAAATGCTTCCTTTAGCCTTTTCCACAAAAACCATGGCTTGTACTGACATTTTGGTGAGGGTTAGCTGAACTCTGAAGTTACTGGAAGGTGTTTTCTTCTCTGTGCTGCTTTCAGATGGCAATTGTGTAACAGCAAGACTCTCGAAAAGAATTTAGACTTTGCAGAATTTGATTCATATTGTCTTCTTTGCTATCTTTCTTTCCTTCTGTTTTTGCATTCCTGACTGTACACCACGATGACTTGGGGCAATTAAATATCAAGGCTTCCAGTCCATCAACCACGCCCAACCATGAGAGATTCTCATTTCACTGGCTTGGGATAGAATTTGGGCCACAGGTGTCTTTTTTTAAGCTTCCCAAGTGATTCTGAAGGTGACCTCACAGTTTCTGGACTGCAAGACACCCAAGGAATGGGAAAATACAGGTGTTCTTTGTTAGTAAATGTAGGAACTACTGAGTTTCTTCTTTTCTCAGTAAAAGCACAAGACAGACAGTAATTAGCTCATTTCTACATTTCTGCACACCCAGGTACTCTGAACTCAGGAGTTTTCATGATCTACTTTTCCCCACTTTAATATACCAAGCATCATTTTTCTGTTCCCTGCTCAGTGAGGCAAATTCTGCAACCCACAGCACACCTTTCACTTTTTTTTTTTCTCGGACACTTTAGACTGCAATATTTCCTTTTGTTCTTCTGTCTTTCATAGGCATTTCAATATTAGCTCATTATATTCTGCAGGGGAATGAAAATGTTTTGAATTCTAATTCCCTTCTAGGTACAGGCTGTCATTAGGTGACGCAAACCATTTTCTAGAAGTCGTCACAATTTAGTGATAGGATTTTTTTTTTTGCTTGTTTGCACATAAAAACACAACGTGATACTTCTAATATCTTAAGGCATACTTTCTCAGATTGAGTTTCTGGTCCTTGGCATTGCCCTGGCCCCACCCTGGCTGTTGTGGCCATTTGGGGAGTGAGCACATGGATGAAAGATTTCTCTCTTTCTCCCTCTGCCTTTCAAATAAATAAATATTTTTTTAATTTGCACACTGATTAGACAGGTAGCTATATCATGCTGGCTCTAGATTATACTATGCTGCTTAGAACCAAACAAATTTTAAATTTTATGGAACTCAACACACTGAAAGTCAGCTTTATCATTCTAGAGGAGGAAAAATTTCCTCTCACTGAGAAAAGTCATTTATCCAACAGTTAATTGGTGCTTAGTAAACTGTAAAAGTTCCTTTTCTAGATGTTTGGATACACTGGAAAGCAGGACAAAGAAATTTTTATGGAGATTACATTTAGCAATTAAATCCATAGAAAAATTCCTAGAAGTGAGATTACATAAAAATTCATTGACTAAGCAAATATAAAAGTAATGTCAAGCATATAATTAGAAATATTATATAGACAATCTAATAAAATATTGTAGGATGTTTGAGTCTTAGATATCAGCTCTTCATTATATACTTACTTTTAAGATTTTATTTATTTATTTGACAGGTAGAGTTACAGACAGTGAAAGGGAGAACCAGAGAGAAAGGTCTTCCTTCATTGGTTCACTCCCCAAATGGCCACCACAGCCGGAGCTGTGCCAGTCCGAAGCCAAGAGCCAGGTACTTCTTCCTGATCTCCCATGCAGGTGCAGGGGCCCAAGCACTTGGGCCATCCTCCACTGCCCTCCCAGGCCACTGCAGAGAGCTGGACTGGAAGAGGAACAAATGGGGCTAGAACGGGCACCCATATGGGATGCTGGTGCTGCAGGTGGAGGATTAACCTAATATGCCACGGCGCTGGCCCCCATTATATACTTTCAACTTTAATGAGTATTTGAAATTTTTCATAATAAATTGTTGAAAAACAATTTTCAGGAAAAGAAAAATTTGCCTATCTAAATGAACACTAATATTTAAAACTAAACAATATTTAAGAGCAAATATCAACATGGTAAAAACATATCTAAGATAGCAGAGGATTTATTCTCAAAATATACACTATGACTATGTCACTTAAAAAACACTGCCTTGGGGCTGGTGCTATGGCATAGCAGGTAAAGCCACAGACTGTGGTGCTGGAATCCCATAAGGATGTCGGTTTGAGTCCCCAGTGCTCCACTTCCAATCCAGCTCCCTGCTAATGTGCTTGTGAAAGCAGCAGAAAATAGTCCAAGTGCTTGGGCCCCTGCACCCACACAGGAGACCTGGAAGAAGCTCCAGGCTCTTGGCTTCAGCCTGTCCCAGCTCCAGCCACTGCAGCCATTTAAGGAGTGAACCAGCAGATTGAAGATCTTTCTTTCTAACTCTGTATTTCAAAGAGAGAGAGAGAGAGAGAGAGAGAGACGGGGGGGGGGGGGGGGGTGCATGCATGCATACATACATACATACATACATCTTTTAAAAAAGAAAAAAAAAGTGGTTTTCCATTTCTGAAAGAGTAACAAAGAGAATACACATAAAAAACAAAGTGGACAACAGATGAATGAAAGAGTCAAGTTTCATGCTAATGAAAACATAAGCTTAAACCATTAAAGTTCCTTCAGGGTCTGCTAAACAAAACTGTTCATACTTTGGTGTTAAATATAATAGGATTCCTTCTTGGTAGGAGGGACTGTGTTGGAGTTCAAGTTAGCAACATTTGGGGGAAGTAATTAGAAGATACTTATCACAAGCTTTAAAAAAAACATTGTCCACTTGGACCCAGTAATCTCAATTCTAGAAATGTTTATATAAATTAAAGATGTCATCCAATACTTACACATAAAAGCATTCTAGAACTCCTTTTAATAGCAAAGCAGAGCAAAAATAAGTGTCCAGGAACAGAAGAGCATCTAAAAAGAATGGACCATTGTGGCATAATGGGTAAAGCTGCTGTCTGCAGTGCTGGCACTCCAGATGGGCACTGGGTCATGTCTGGCTGCTCACGGCTAATGGCCTGGGGAAAGAGCTGAAAGTGGCCCAAGTGTTTGGGTCCCTGCTACCCATGTGGGAGATGCTTATGAAGCTCCTGGCTCCTGGCTCCTGGCTCCTGGCTCCTGGCTCAGCCCTGGATGTTGCCACTGTAGGGAGAGAACCAGCAGATGGAAGATCTTTCCCTCTTTCTTTCTCTTCCTTTCCAAGTCCCTCTCCCTTTATAAATCTGTTTCAAATAAATAAATGTTAAAATAATAGAACTGTTAAAGTAAAAATAAAATTAGTTACTACCTGTAATTTTCCAAAAACATTTGAAAAAATGTGTAAGTGCTCATGAAGTAACATTAGGAGGAAAGCACTTTATAAAACCATACCACTTAAAAAACTGAAGTATACTTTCAAGGGAAAAAAAGTACATATTTAAAAAACAGCAGCAGTGATTTTCCTTGGATGGTTTCTGATTTTACCTTTCCAAGTTTCTGCTCTGTGAACATTCATGATGGTTATTTTTTAATGTTATTTTCAGCAAAACACGTGTAAACAGTGAACTGAGAGATTATAAAATATTCATCCCAGCCACTTCTCACTGCAGATATAATACTTTGTTAATAAAGGCACATAGCATTTATAAGTGCTGCTTTCTCATTCTTTTTGTTTGTTTATTCTTGGTTTATTTTTTACAATTGAGGAGGGTTGGAAAGAAGTGAAATATTCTTGCTTGCTGTTCTCATTGGTCCAGTGTAGAAGTCAGGTCTGTTGAGCAGACTCCATGTGTACTGCAGATCAAGTAGGTGGCCTGGTGAAGGGGACAAGTCTCTTCTCTGCCAGTGCAGAGAGGAACTAGGATCCAGACCGGGGTTCCTACTGCCAGCCTCATGCATTTTCCGCATTTCTCCATTTTGCTGAATTTAGGGGTAAGAATAAATCAGGAACGGTGGCTCAGACTATACTCTGCTTCATACTTAGTAGCTTCAAGTTAGGAGTCAGAATCCTCGCTTTTTTTGAAAAGAGAAAATGGCTCTCCTAGACACCCAGTGATTTCCTCAAGTCCACCAACCCATAAATGTCACAGTTAGGACAGGTGACTACAAATCTCATTATTTTTTTGCTATTCCAGGTTAACTTCAAGGCTATTAACTCAATCATGAGGAGATCATTTAGGAAATGAATACATTATTCTTTGATTTACACATCTCAAACAATGTTCTAAGTCAGAAAAGTGATTATAATTAATATTTTGTAAAATGTGCTCATCTCTTTAGGGAAGTGCTGCCAGTTTGGAGAACGTTCCACTGCCTTGCCTAATGGTTGTGTTCTGCTAGGCAGGGGTGGAGAGGGGAGAGGGCTTATGAAAAATAAACATATTCCCAGGCCAAGGCTCTTGGGATTCTCCTTCAGAAGACCTGACACAGCTCTGGAATGTATAATTTTTACAAATGCCTTGAAAATGCTTGTGCTAGGGCTGCTTCAGGGAAACATGTATCTGAACCAATTGATTTCAAACTGCAGGGCACACATCTGACTCCTGCTCGCTCGGTAATAAGGATTCCAGCCCAGCAAGTCTAGGCAGTGTGCCTAGTGCTCAGACTCTTCAGGGGGTTCTAATGGTATTGGTACACAGGACTTTCAAGAAAACCACTTGAATATAATTTTATACTGTACATTTAGATGGTACTGGAGGAAAGTAAAAAATCTTAAATATATCCTTTGTGACTAAAGGGATATAGGGGACATAAACAAAACAAGCAATGGTACCATCTATAAAAGTGAAAAAAGGAAGTTGGACATGGAATTCACAGAGGGGAACAGGAATCCCTGGAGACATCCCCAGAGACAGCGTGCTGCCTAATTGGCTAATGAAGAATGTGTAGGGTGAATGGGGAGATGAAAGACTTCTCTAGTGAGGGGAGCAGCAAGAGGAACTGAAATAGAATAGAGCAAGGGCTTGAATAAGGCAAGGCAAGTGGGATGTTTCTGGAGAGGAAGCGTGGGTCTCACGATGACATGGCCTGCGAGCATCTCAGACTGAAGGCGTAGAGGAACAGACATTGGGGAGCCAGTGGCTGGACATGGTTGATGGACTCTCCGATGATAGATTGCAGTATACACATTGACCTTTCAGAGACTTAAAGAACTTTGAAATGAGGGTTGACGTAAACTAGATAGTTTAAGCATTTAGCCACCCCTCTCATCAACTCAGAGCAATCTCTGATGAACGTTTAGTTTGTCTACCCTTCCCACAATGCTCCCCTCAACATCATGCCCACAAGCATTTCTGAAAGAAGAAAGGACAGGTGAAGTTTACCATTCGTGTATATAGATTAAAATGCTGATTTCAGGGTAGGGATATAAATTTCAGATAATAATTTTCCTGAGCACATCTATGCCCTAAAGTTCAGAATGAAGGCTGTGTCCTAAAACCGAAATTCTTTCTCCAGCCACATATGCATCCACATAGACAAACAGAAATGCACAGACAGCATTGCAAGTTGCCTCTTGTTCACTGCAGTGAAGAGCTTCTTCCAGTGTCTTCTCAGGTCATTCTGATGTTTCTCTGCTTCAGACTATCGTAGGATGGATGATCTGGTCTAAGGGAAACTCTAGCCCTTAGTGATTCTGATTCGTTTATCCCTCTATCTCTCTGTGTCTCCTTGAACTCATTTGCTAGACACTTTTTAAGACCATACTGTGAAACAACATTTGCCAGACTAAACCAGTAGTCATTTCACTCTCTAGTGATGGCCAGTGTTCCTATTTTGGAAGGATAATAAGGTTTTATCCTGACCTGTGATGAGAGGCTAAAAAACTGATTATCTTTGTGATGTTCACTGTGCATAATAGCCCTGCTCATATAAACAGATACAGATAATTAGCCATGGCTGTATTAATTAATCTTTTGAAGAGATATGATCTTCAGCATACACCACTGTGGATTTAAAAAGATATGTGTTGATTTTAGCTGAATGAGTCAAATAAGTGTGCGTGAAGGAAAGACATATTTGAGAGTGAAAAGTATTATATGTACTGCAGAAATAAATCTTATTTTTAATGCAGACCTAGATATATAACTCTCTCTGTGTGTGTGTGTGAGAGAGAGAGAGAATTTAGACAAAGACTTAACAATATGTCATACATGGAGGTTAATCATTATCCACTATCTTGTTGAGATGTTTTGCTAAATAATTAATGAAAATGTAGTAGCATTTATTATAAATGTATTTAGCGTAAATGTAATAAAAGAGCTAAATAACAAGAGTGTCATAAATATTATTTGGGCATTACGGAACATGCATCTTGAAGTGAAAGGAGAAGAAGGAATGGTGGACCACTCTTTTGCCTTTATTATTTCAACCTGCACACAGTTGTCAGGAGGACTCACATCTCTGATTCACATGTTCTGAAAGATTGCCATATAATTTTCTCCATATCAAGTCAGAGGGAGGACAAAAGGCCTGCATCACATTCCATTTGGTAAGATAGATAAATTCAGATTGGAATTGGAGCACTCACACAGTCTACATCAACACATATGTAGGCTTCCTTCTGAGTCATAACCAGATAAGTGGTAGGTGATGGCCAAAGAGAGGAAAAGAAGTTGTTCAGAAAATAATGTTTATGAATTTTAAGTTCTCAGGGGAAAAATGTGTGAAGCATCTATTGAAATCTGTCCCTTGCTAATTGAACATAAAGCATTATTTGTCCTGCAGTCGAGACAACATATGTGAAAATGTTAGGACCTAAAATGCCTATAAAAGCTTTCATTTACACTAAGCAACTTACACTAACTAAGCCTCATCCAAATATAAGACCTACTACATGTTCATCATGAACTATACAGGGCCTGTGGGGCTTTTAGGCAATGCAAACACAACTGTTCTCAGTGCTTGTTTCTAAACCACTATTTTTGTGTTTATTTACCCAGCACAGATGTTATGGCTCATTGGGAACTAAATGGTTTGTGTAGGTGGCCATGTTTTCATGGTCCAAGCAGCTCGTGCTGAGATATGAGTGTTCATTCCACTGATGCTCTCACCCTAGGAATGAGGATGGAGAGGAATGCAGTTTAATTCAGCACATATTGGAGAACTGTAATATCTAAGTCAGAGGCGGATCTCATTTTGAGTGAGGAAGCAGGTACAGTATTTCGAATGATCTATCAAAATAGCAGCCTTGGTCCTCAGAACCCGACCACACCATTATTGAGAAGGACCCAATGTCCTTTTTCAATCCAGGTTGGCAGATGCAGCCAGGTGTGGAAGTCCTCCTGGATCATGCACATTTATAGTCTACAGGCAGGAGTGGTCAGAGGAAACCATGGGCTTCTAACTGTAGGCAGTGGTAGAAATTGAGAACATCTTCATGGGATTCCTGACTTAATGAGAATCTGTCACTTCTTAATCTTGAAAGATTAAAGCCCTTCAGTGGCCTGAAAGGATGAACCCTGAAAGAGGGCAAAGATGATGAGGAAAAGGAGAGGTCTTGTTGTGAACAGTGAGAATCTCCTCAGTGAATCTCCCAGGTGATGCAAAGCAAGAGCTAACAGCAGAGAAGTAAATCTTCTGTATGGCACCAAAATATGCTTGATGTCTTCACAGGTAATCAGAATAACGTTGGACATAGATTTTTGAAGATGCATTTGCTATGGTGGTCCTATTTAATATAACAGGGGTGTCTTCAGGATTGGATTTTGTATTCGGTAAACGAACATTAATTGGCTGTATACACAAAATCATGGACCAATGGTTAGATGGAGCTATCTCCTGGGTAGGGTGATTGTTTAAGTGTATTCAGCATTTTCCTGTGTATCCTTCCCTTGACTGTTTCACTTTCCATTCCATGCCAGATATATAGCAGCTGCTTGATATATTTTGTTCAGTAAACAAATGAATAAATGAACTAGTTCCTGGGCGTGTATTAACATTTCACTAATCTCCTAGCATTTGACCTCAGAAAAATAAAATGAACTTTAGGAATTGAAAGTGGAAATGATTTGTTCTTACAACTTTCTGAGTTATAGTAAAAGTGATAATAAGGATAAAGCCGATGGGGCCGACTCTGTGGCATAGTGGGTAAAGCCACTGCCTGTATTGCAGGCATCCCAAATTGGCACTGGTTCGAGTCCCGGCTGTTCTACTTCCAATCTAGCTCTATTCTATGGCCTGGGAAAGCAGTGGAGGATGCTTCAAGTCCTTGGGCCCCCTGCACCCACGTGGGAGACCGGGAAGAAGCTCCTGGCTCCTGGCTTAGAATCGATGCAGCTCTGGCCAATGTGGCCATCCAAGGAATGAATCAGCAGATAGAAGACCTCTGTATCTGCCTCTCTGTAACTCTGCCTCTCCTTCTCTCTCTGTGTAACTCTTTCAAATAAATAAATAAATCTTTAAAATAAAGTACAGGAATGTTATGAAAGAATGCATAACAATTGAATTAAGGTGATTAAAAAAAGAAAGGATGAAGCCAAGTATTGTTTTCTGTGTGCCAGGAGGAGCTCCATGGCTTATGTCATTGCATCCTCAGTAAAAACAACCACAGCAAACTGAGGAAGAATGCAGAGGTAAAGCTTTTGAAGCCCAGGTTTCCAGGTCCTTGTTTGCATTGAGCACCGAGGGAGGCTTCTGGCTGTGTGTCTAAAGGTCATTTTGTATGCATGTCTTCATAAAAAGACATACTTCCTCAATCATATAAACTTCATGCCTTGACAAACCTGAATCTGTCCCTGGAAAAGGACTTAGAATCTGAGAATTACAGTACAAGACAGGCAGCAAGTAAATGTCTGCTAGTAAAATACAGAGTTGAATGTTTCTACTACCCACTTGCATCTACCTCATTGGTTATTTTCACATAAATGACAGATGTAAGGGCATTTCGTAAAGGCATTCTAGAAGTAGAAATATTAAATGATTATAAGAATACATCGATAGCAAGTGATGATAGAACCACATCTTTCTGAAGACTTAGAAATACTGGACATAGCATATAATTTTTAAGGTTTATTTTTATTTGAAAGGCAGAGTTACATACAGTTAGAAACAGAAATGAGGGAGATTGATCTTCCATTCCCTAGTTCACTCCCAAAGTGGCTACAATGGTTAAGACTGGGCCAAACCCAAACTAGGAACCAGGAGCTTCATCTGGGTCTCCCGTGTGTGCAAGGACCCAAGGACTTGGACCATTTTCCACTGCTTTCCTGGGCATGTTCTCAAGACTGGATGGAAGTGGATTAGCACAGAATCAAACCAGCACCCATATGGGATGCTGGCTTTGCAGGTGGTGGGCTTAACCCTCCATGCCAGAATGCTGGCCTTATAGCATGTAATCTTAGCTGGTTGGACCAGCTGGTTTCAAAAAGGTGTTACATGAATAAAAATGTTCAGTATGGTATGTTTAGATTAATAAAGATACTTATTATATTCTAAAAATTAATGTCTCTTAATAAAATGTGGTAACCATAGCAACCCGTCTCAGAATTGCTGGTGCTGGTTACAAAGGAAAGAATCTGAATAGTATGCTCACTGTCCATCCTTATTTCTGTGAAATGGACCTGAGACTCATTCATTAATATACCCATTCATCTGAAAAATGCCTTTTAGGAACTAGTGCTATTTTGTCAGACCTTCTGCTATATCCTGGGACATAGTGGGTGAGCAGAATGAGCCACATTACTTTCATCCTGAAAATTATAGTCCAAGAGAAAACAGATATAAGCATTAATCAAATCATCACACTAATGAATTCATTATTTCGAATGGAGTTAAGTGTTTTGAAAGAGAGCAATGTGGTACTGTAATAACTGATAGGAAAGTGTATAGTAGGGGTCAGGAAAGTTTTCCCTGAGGAGATACATAGCAGCTGAAATTCTAATGAGCAGGACTTGGTGGATAAGGAACAGTGTAAGCAGGGGCAATGTGAGACATTTGTGGCTAAGAAAGATGTCAGCTTGACTGACGAGATAACAATAAAAGAGGTGCCTGGTTTATGATAAGAGTAGAGAGGGAAGCAGAGAAATCCTATAAAGTACCTTCGAGACACCTCCAAGGATTTCAAGCTTTACTGTAAGAGTAATGGGAAGCCATTGAGTGGTTTCAGAGTGTGGCAGTAGGGTGAAGGATGAATCATTTGATTTATGATTAAAATACTTGTCTGATATCATGTCAAAAATGCGTGGAACCAAGATAGATAAATGCAGACCAAATAGAAGACCATTGTAGGCAAGAGATGCCAGTAACTTGGACTATGGATTTTGCAAGTCATACGGAAAGAAGTCAGATGCAAGTTAACTGTGGTTTGGTGCTAAATGAGGAATAGAATGAAGAGGCAAAGATGAAGGATGTCTCCCAGACCTCACACATGTAAATTCTCCAGGAGCACATATATAATACCCTTCTACAAAGAATGAGAACTTACAGATGAGCTCAGGTTTTTTTTGCTACAATGCTTCATTGATTTAACAAACGTTAGAGTGCCCTTTCTGTGCCAGTGTTTTCTGTGTCAGTTGAGTAAATGTGGCCCTCACCCTCACAGAGCTCATGGTTCCATTGAGTCATCATCTTCCAAGCTGTCACATCTGTGTTGTAGGAGAGTAGACAGCATTCTGTTCTGTGTACAGAAGTTAGCTGTTTCTTCCACTGGTGGGATACTTTATTTTCAGAGGAAACCCAATATCAGTTATAGGTTTTGTTGGTTTTTATCAAGAAGAGCCAAAAATGTTCTGATTTTGTAGAAAACTCAGCTATCATTATTATTTGAGAAAAGTGTCCAATTTTTGTGGTTTATTTCATAGAAACGCATGGCTAGGTTATAAGAAATGATTATAGAGGTGTAATGTGCCTACTGTCAAATTCCAGGCGCAAGCAATGGCAAGAAACTCACAAAGCAATAGGACTTCTTTATTACTATACAGTCTAAAAAGGCAGGTACTCCTTGCCTGGTTTAGATTATTTCTGGAAACATACATAACTGTATTTGCTGGAGGTTTTTGTGCTTTGCTATTCCTTGCCAGTGATTTGTGCTGACAACTAAAGGTATATAGTTGGGCATTTCTACTGGACAATTTCTTTGAAGGGGATCTTCTACACAAGATATCCAACATGAATCTACTATACTGAATAAAAATGAACCGTAAGCTACTGACAATAATGAACCAAGTTGTCACAGACTGGAGAGCACTTCATCTTTTTTTAGGAATTAAAAGCACCTTTAGCAAGAAAAAATATTTGTATTTACAAACCTAAGTAGGCCTAGTGATTTGGGAAGACAGTTGTATGTGTCTAACAGAACTACAGCTGGGGTATGCGGAAATAAATGTCAAAAGACACTCTGTTGTTGTTTCAGTGAAGTCGTGTTTTTTATTTGGCAGAACTAACCTTCCTAATGTAAAACGAAACATCATTCAGTATCTTTATTAGATTGACTTCAATGACTACTCAACATTATTTATAATGTTGTTCAGGGAAGGATATGTTGATGGAATGGCAGTTTAAACAAAAATCACTTAAGCAACAAGTAGTTATTAAGGACAGACTTCACTTGTCTGGTTCCAAAATGTAATGTTCTTAGATTAACTACAGTTACCCAAATTGCTGAAATACAAATTTTATTGGTATGAATTAAGTGTTTTCAAATTAAATGTGCATTTTCCACGATAGTAGTTCATTGTAGTATTGTTAACTCTCATTTAAAAAATATCCTTCCATAACCATTTCTGCATAACTATATTTTGCTATCTAATATAATTTATGGCAGTTGGCTTTTACTAATATTACCTATCAGATGTAGCTGTAATAAAATTTGTTTAGACTGAATCCATTTTTACCATGCTTTGTATTTTACTCTATGCCTACCAATTATCTTTTACTTGAAGATCTAAGATCTATAAAATATTGAATATCTCCAATTAAATTGGGCTTTAAAAATGTCATTTTGGTGGCATTCTGGTTTTTGTTTTGATCTATTTTTATCTACTTGCATTCCTTCTTTTAGGAAAAAGAATTTATCTGTTCTTTTTTACTTACCAAACTTTGGGAGGTATAAGGTAGAGAGGCCTGATCATGAAGAACTCAATTCTATTACTGAAATGTGTATTAATGCTCTTGCATGCCATTATCTGGTGCAATCATTTAAACATGTCAGCACAT